CACACAGATATGACTAAAATATAGAATGCTCAGAAACAACTCTGAATTTTCCATCTCACTGACTCTGGCAACGAAGTGATTTGGGCCACTGAGGTGTGGTCTTTTTTGTTATAAATTATTCATATTAAACAATGGCTCAAAATAGGTGTACACTTTTATGATAATATTTCCCAATGCATAGTTAAATATAATCACTTAAATGGTTCTCCAACACAGTACTTGTGACATGCCTTTATGTTTTCTCTGGCTGGCTAATGGTTATAAAGCTCTTTCCTGCTCTATAAACAAGATTTAGGACTAAAGTCCATAATGCTACTTATGTAGCCTTTATTGTCACATTTTGGTAGATTTTTTGATCTTGTATTTGATTAGTCATGTAATATTAAACATGGGTCTTTGAATCAATAACCATTCATTAAGCATTTATTACTTTCCAGGCATTATATATAAGGTATTGCAGGAAAATGGTGTCAGATACAGTGTTTGTCCTCAAATCACTCACAGCCTGGAGTGGGGGGCAGACTTGTGATTCAATAAAGTACAGTGTACTATGTAATATGACAAGGGTAAAGATTGGGTGAGGACTAGCAATGTAAGCGACTCACCTTACTCAGATGCAAATGCTTTCCAGAGAAATGATGTTAAGCTAAGTTTTAAAAGAGTTATACCTGTGTTCTAGAAATGGAAATAAATGGAATATAGATGGAATAAGTAAGGACTTATATTGAGAAGAACCTTGAAATGACATGTAGGTGAGTTTGGTCTTCATCCTGAGTGCAATGGTAAATCACTGAAAATTTCAAAAAAAGAGATAAAAAATCAGGCCTACATTTTAAGGAGATCCCTTCAATGACCTTTTGGAAGAAAGATAAAAGAGTTACTGCAGGCAGGAAGAAAAGAAAGGAGGCTAGTGGAGTAATACATGCTAGAAAGTAAAAAGGTTGCTCTTAAGGCACATGGCCTGAAGACAATATGGTGTGTTGGCTAAAAGCCAGCAATTTTGTGTTCAGACACACCTAATATCTTGTGTGATGTTTGGATGGTCAAGCATAATGACCGAATAATCTCATTTAATTAAAAGAAAAATAAACCCAACCAGGTTCATTGAGCTTAGGGTAAATGTGCATCAGGAACTCACATAGGTTAGGAACTGACTACATGTGACATGAGTCTCTCTGTTTGTAGCTCTGCTCTTTGCATCTACTCCATTCTTTTTTCTCTTTCCATCCCTCTCAGGTCACTCAATTTCTATCTCCTCACAATATCCACGTGCCTGTGGCCATCATGGCTCCTCAGGCTTCATACTATATAGTGAGTAGTCAGTTCCCCTACTAAATGGGAAAGTCTCTTAATATTTCCTCGGTCATGTTCCCAGGAAAGAGTCATGGATAGTGCTTCTCATCTGTCTAAGCCCTTTCTCCATAGCTCTGCACAAGGTTGACTGGCTCTAGACTTGCAATTATAATATAGAGAGAAGATATTGAGAACAATGGGACCTACCTTAGAGCTTGTGGACAAGGCTGTTGTCTCTAAAAGGGATAACTGAAAGGCTCACCTCAGACGAGTAGCAATGAGAATGGACTTCAGAGAACAGGTTCGAGAATCAGGTTGTCAAATCAACTGAATATGACAATCCATTAGCTACGAAAATGAATGAACAGGGAGGTTTCAGATGTGATCCATTGAGTGACTAGCATGTGGTCTACTCAAATAGGGAAAACGAGAAGAAGGTCAATGTCCTTTGTGGGTCAACTTTGTTGAAAAGCCCGGTAGGTAACTATACATACTGTTCAGCTTTTAAGAGAGATTTCAACAAAGGATAGCCTTGTATGACCACTCTCTTTTTAGTTTCTGAGGTTTTCTTTTCCTTTAGTCTTCCTTCCCGCCTCTTCTACATCCTTCTCATGTGTCTATTCTTCCCTCTTCCCTTATGTGATCTGTTTGAAAGTCACATGTTTCTAGGGGCCCAGTTCTAGTTCCTTTTCTGCTTTTCTATATATCCTTCCCTGGATAATCTCTTTAAATCCTAATATAGTAAACACCACATTTATGCTTGTGATTTACAAACTATTATCTTCAAACTCACATATCGATTTGCCCACTTGACTTCTGCTTTTAAGTATCTCACTAATCTCTCAAACCCTTGATTTGAACTGCCAGTGACCCACCCATCCCAGTCTTCTTTGTCTTATTATATAACAGTGTTACTCCCTCTCCTTTACAAAAGTCAGAACTTGAGTGTCATCCCTGACACACTCTTCCTCTCACTCCCCACAGCCAGCCCATCGGCCCTGCCTGTCAACTCCATCTCCAAAATACCTCATGACTCCATCTTCCCCTTTCCATAACTATTACTGTCACCTTATCCCAGACTACTAACAAAGTACTTCTTAATTTAACTATTCAGTGGCTTCCTCATTCACTTAGTAACTTCAAATTTGGACAAAGATCACGTGATCCTCACCTCTGTCCTTCCTGTATGCTCCTACAACATTGTGTTCTAGCTACCTAACAATATTTTTCTCTTTGGGGCATTTTTCCTAGTGTTTCTTCCCCTTCAATCCATCTTGACTACGCTGGCTCTTTTAAGCTTATAAATAACAACTCTCGTGTCACCTGACTGAAGGGATCTTTCCTGTATCCAAAACAAAGCAGCCCCCATTCCCATCACTGAATCATTAAGGTATTTTTTGTGTATTTATATAGCACTTCTCTCTGAAATTATCTCCATTGTTTGCAGTTTTTCCATTTCAGTTCACTAGAATCTAAGCTCCATGAGGTAGAGATGTCACCCTTTTTATTCACCCATATCTCCAGTGCCTAAAACAGTACATGCTGTATCACTAAGTTGTTGATCAATGAGTCAATTAATTGATTTTTGCAAAAGACCCTTGACATGTCTTCTTATTTCCGTTCTGCCCTCTATAATCCATTTCCCCAAAAGACCAAAAAACATCTTTTGAAAATGTGAAACAGATGATATCCCACAACTAATTTTTTTGGTGTCTTCCCAGTATATTCAAAATAAGATCCAAACCCATCATGTAAGTTTTTAGTGCCACTCTCTGCTTGATCATTACACTCCACTGATCTTTCAATTATTTGATCATTGCTTGAATGCTCTTTCTAACATTCTTTGCACATATCATCATCTCCTCTTTAAGTTTGTCTTGTGTTATTTCTTCAGAGAGCCTTTCCTGATCTCCTTATTTGAAGTAACTTCCCCTTTTATTTTCCTTTTCTCAATCCCTAATGTGTTTCTTTCATATCATTCACTAATTATTCAATTATTACAATTATGTTTTTATGTACTTAGTTTTTGTCTGCCTAATCTGCTAGAATGTAGGATGATCAGGGTGGTGAGCAAGTCTGTCTTGTTCTCTTTAGTATCTTTGGTACCTAACACGATGCTTGGTACACTAAAGGTACTCAGTAAGTATGTTTTAATTTAAAATGATATCAAATGGTAGAAGAATCTCTTGGAGTAAGTTTTTCAGTAAGATTACCCCTGGTTACAAATAAGAGACTCCTAACTAAGTCTAGCCTGAAGATGTGTTTTTTGTGTTTGTGTTGTGTTGTTTTAGGATGGCATATGGTTTATGGTTTTAATTCTTTCAGGTGTAACATGAATGTACAGTTTATCACAGCCCTCTTCTAAGGGTGGTATTGAAATATTGTAACAAGTAAGATCTTACATTTATTAGAAAGGATGTAAGATACTTTGTCAGATAGTAATAGATATTAACTGTTTTAGTTTGCCAGATTTTAACCTCAGGAGGAGTTAATTATGCAAGAGGTTAACTGATTGTAGAAAGATCCAGAAGGAACAGGGGAAGAGTACTTGGGTTGAAGGGGAGAGAGATAGACCTTTAGAGCAGTGGGTATTTGCGGGCTTTTACAGAGGTGTCTCAGTATTCAAATACCCCTACCACTACAGTCTGATCAACTCTAACCTGGCCCTTGTAAGCATCTGGGTTTGGGATGGCCTTGATTTCCTTGATTTAGAATAAGAGAAGAGGGCTGAGAACAGATTCCTGGGAAATGTCAACATTCAAGGACTGAGTAAGATAAAAAGAGCCCAGAAAAGAGTAGATCTTAGGAGAAGAAAGAGAAATGCCCCACTCCCCTAACCTCACCCTCCCAAAAAAGGTTTTATAGCAGCTAGGGTAGAAAATTGCTTTTAGTGGGTAACTGTGTCGAGGTGGAGAATTATTTCCCTGGAAGGCATTGGTGACTCCAGAACAAAAGATTTCAATGGACAATAGGTGTTAAATCAGCTTTCAGTGAATTGAGGAATGGTTGTAGACTACTTGAGAGGCATACCAAAGAGGGAAGTGGTGGGCCAGGGGTGTAGGACGTGAGGAAGTGTGATGTCTGCAGATAATTTCAAAACAACAATAAAACTGGCTAAAGTTTGTCTTTTTAGTAGCAATTCCAAACAAGGTTAGGGTTAGAATTCCTGTCCCCTCAGTGACCACTCTTAAAGACAGGAACAGTATAATAGCCAGAAGAGGGTATTACAGGGTCAAAGGAGGATGACTTTATAAGACTAAAGGGACTTGTAAATGTTTATTATAAAAGGAAAGGATCAGCCTAAAGGAAATGTTTCAATAGAGTAAGGGTTATAACCAGTAAAACAGTCTGAGGGCATACAGAATGGACAAAATCCATGGATGATTGAGCCTTGAACAAAAAGAGGACCTCTAATTCTTAGAGGAAAAATCTTTGACCCTTGATTCACCATTGTTTCATTATGACAAGTTATACATTTTTTTATTTCTAAGTTAATTCAAAAATTCTGGTGATATTATTAGTTATTATATACACTTTCAAAAATAACATTAATGTTTCAAAAATAGTGCGAGTATTCCAAATGTGACTGCTACTAAGTTATTTCATGGATTCCATGTAAAATAATTGTAAATGCATTTTGTTAATAGATGCACTCTAATTTCTGACACTAAATTAGTGTATTCTGCATTTGCACTTATTTCATGCAGGTAACAAATATTGGGTGTTCAAGGACACGACTCTTCAGCCTGGTTACCCTCATGACTTGATTACTCTTGGAAGTGGAATTCCCCCGCATGGTATTGACTCAGCCATTTGGTGGGAGGACGTTGGGAAAACCTATTTCTTCAAGGGGGACAGGTCAGTACACCACTCCACATGAGGAAAACAGTTAACTAATGTTTAGAGAAGTCAATTATTTCTAGTGTATCGCAGACATGTACTTTTGATTCAGAATTCATTGAAAGGATATAAACCCAAAAATTAATGGAATCAAAAACGATTTAACATATTTTCAAGTAATATTCAAGATAAATCTACTATACCCAAATAATGTGACTTTCTTATGAATGTATATATATAGTATATATTCTTTCTCTTCTCTATATCTTAACATGCCTATAAAGCTGCATAAGCAGTATATATGTATCCTTGCAATGCATTTTCTTATAATTTACCTTATTTTAAGAAAGTATTTTTTAGCACTGGCTTATTTACTTTCATATTCAAAGTTAAATTTTACATTTTGCATCCAGTGAATTGTGAACATTTTCAAATAAATAATTTCAGTTTAGTCGTGAGTTCTATTTCTTAATAAGACACTTATTTAGGTACCAGCAAATAGGTGTAATGAACTACTCAAACTATCTGGACTAAATACTTTTAATTTGAATTGTAATATTTCTTCAAGAAGTGTGATTCCATCTTTTTAAATTTCCTTTTATGACATTTGTAAAGATTAGTTGAACTGTTCATCTCAGTGACTTATAGTAGCTATATAGTAGGTACATAGCTCTACTCTTGCCCACTTTTTGACAGAAATTACTTAAAAGTTGTAAGGCTGTATTGTTTGTTAATTTTAAATTAATACTCAGAGAAAGTAATAAAGATGAAAAATTTTTAATTATACTATTGTTAGCTGGGTCAAGAATTGACATTCTTAAAATTTATTAGTATGTATAAGGACTTAAGTATGCATTTAATGCATTTTACAAGTAAATGTAAACACATCTGAACAACAGGCCTTAATGTCTAAACAACTAGTATTGAGTTTGCCTTATAATCTTAAGTAGTATAGCAATATAAAATGTTTCCAACTTTAGGAAGAAAGTGGGTAATGATAAAAACTTTATTTTGCAATTTGCAATGTTTAGTTACAAGTTGTATTTCAAACACTGAGCTTTATCTATGAACAAAAAGATCCTATCATTTGTCTCCATGGATAGGAATATATACTTTTAAATTTATTCCATTATAAACTTCTAATACCTTTTAATTTGAATGTATTTCTATAGCAAAATATTCATAGAGTTTAATGCACTATCATAAAATTAAGATTTTACTAAATCACAAAACAAAAACAGATTCATTACACAAAAATTCAATTAAAGAAGAAGATGCCACTTACACTTACAGTCACAAAAAGTGTATGACTCTCAGCAAGATATAATCATAGTGAAGTATGAAAGAAGGGCGAAGAAATGATTGCCAAAACATCATGACCACATATAAAAATAAGTCTGTAGATTTATAACATATTCTTTAAAATTTCACTCCTGAGGCTTGTTAGAGTTTCATTCCCCACAGAGTTTTAATTGCTCAAATGTAGTCTTTCAGAACAAGTTTGTGCCTTTATTTTTTTGACAGAACAGTATAGGAACAGACTGACAAGACACACTTCTAAAGAATGGAATATGAGCTGTCATATGAGAGTTTTAATGAGGATTTCATAGATGATAATAAAAATTGCCATTTCATTATCAAACAGCCCATTTTCTCACACATGCAGGTATTATTTTTAAAATGGAAACATAAATGTTTCCATTTCTTTTACCACTTATTTATTGCAAATTTTGTTAAGAAATCAAATGTGGTCCATTTCAAATCAATATCAATGAAGGTCAGATAGCAAATTTATAATAGTCTAAAGACTAGTAAATGGGAAAGAAGTTTTAGTTCAGTTGTTCCTACTTGAGAAGCTGCATGCAAAATATCACAAAATCATAGAAATATTTTAATTTTATATAACTGTTTTTTATAGGCTTAAAATATTTTAAGCACAAATCCAGTTAATTTCCTTAAATAACTGGTTTTATAGGCTTAAAATATTTAAAGCATGAATCCAGTTAATTTCCATGTGTGCTATCTTATATAAGATTTCATGAATTATAGATGTTTTATAAACAGATTACTTCATATTTGTATAATAACATAATTCCAAATTTACAACTTTTATCAGTGTGTTCATTCTAGATTAAGTAGTAGATTAGTAGTACACCATAGATTAGTAGATGGAATGTAAATTAAACTGAAACCTATAAACAACAATCTGGTTGCCACTTTTATTTAAGAATTCAGTGAGTCTTCCTCATAAACACTGAATATTTATAATTTTTAACATTTCATGTATTTTCCATGTGTGTTTTTGAGAGAAAACATTGAAAAAATTTTTATCCTTCGTATTGCTCCCTCTTCTCCCACTGCCATATTTCTTCTTTAAAAAGAGTGTTTTGGGGGGAGAGGGAGCAGTTAATAGGTTTGTATTTCTTTAAATCTAAGAGCAAAAAGGGATTTTAGAGATAAGGTAGTCCAGGTGTAAAAAGCTCAGTTATACTTAAGGGGTCAAGCGAGTAATGTAAGTACTGCTGGGCACAGTGATAGTGTATGAAGCCATAGGGAATCATGGGTCTGCAATGAGCTGGGAAGTACAGATGTTCTAGAAAAGTATTCAAATTCAGTATTGTTTGTGTAATCTGCTAGACAGACAAAGCATACCTTTAAATTAGATTTGGTCCAAGGGCTGCCATGTGCCAGCCCTGCCTCTTCTTCACTTCCTACCGAAGTGTAGGCATGCTCAGTTCCGAGGTATTCATCCTCGTCTACCCAACTATGTGGGTTGACCACATGAAGATGAGACAGTCCATTCCATTCTCAATAGCTCAAATTCCTGCTTCGTTGATTTCTGCGCCATTCCTGGCATGGCATGCCATTTCTCATTCATTTATTCAAAACATAATTTTGAGCACATACTATGTGCCATGTGCTGGGTTATAGAAATATAGTAATAGAAAAGACTACAAGGCTCTGTTCCCCTGTCACAGATTCTCTGAGGGGAGACAATAGTGAACAGTAAAAAATAAATGACCCTGGTATTTAAGTGAGACATGCTACAAAGAAGGTGATCAAAAAGGTGATGATGTGGTAGAGACTCATGGGTAGAAAGAAGTGGCTGGGAAATTAGTGTGCACATCAGGAAAGGCCTCACTTGTGCATGAGACACTGGAGTGGGAACTTGAATGGGGAGAAGTTTCAGCCACAGGAAGCTATTAGGAATAATGTGTTGTAGGCAGTTGACACAGTACTGGAACAGTAATAACACTGGAATGTTTAAATCCAGAAATACAAAACAAACATCATGCCTAGAGCATAGCAAATGAGTGGTCAAGGTCAAATAGGTATGCAGGGACCAGATTACACATGACCCTGAAGACTGTGGCAAAGACTGAATTCTATTCCAGGTACAATAGGAAGGCATTGGAGGATTTTGAGCAGAACAATGATTGACCTGATGTGTATTCACATACATAACATTATGTGTGAAGAATGGGCTTCAGGAGTGGAAGCAAAGAGGGTAGGTAACTAAGAGGCTGTAAATGTAGTACAGGGGGACAGGATGGCAGTGGAGATGGAGCCAAGGAAGGGTACAGCACATATTTTGAATGTAATCATAACAAGTCTTTTTTATGGCTTGGATTTTAGGGGTGAGAAAAAAGTAAATCAAAGATAACCTCTAGGTTTTTCACCTAAGTAATTGAGTAGATGGTGCTGTTTCTATATAAAAAGGAGACAGGGAAGGAATATTGGGGAAAGAGGATTAAGAGATTGAAGTGTCCACATTCAGACTGAGTTGCCTGTTTATACACCAATTGGAGTAATCAAGTAGATACTTGGATAATTAAATTTCCGTCTTAGAGGAAGGTTGGCGGGAGGCACACATTTTAGAGTACTTGACATAAATTGTAAAGCAAGGAAATACAGGTACAAAGACAGCTAAAGAAGAGTCAATGAAATGATGGTTCTTTAAATGAATCTGTAATTTCAGATCAAAATTTCCACTCTCTCACTATTTCACATACAGCATGAAACTCCATCCCTCAAATTCCTACTTGCCCTTTTCTTAACACACTATAATATGATACTTGGATGCATTTTGATCTTCATAGCATTTAGCTCTAAAATGCTATGTTTCTAAATCATCTCTCAGCATCTTCTCACAAATATATCCAAGACTGAATTGCCATACTCGCTCTAAGCTTAACTGTTGAAAATTTTAAGATGTTTTCAGAAAAGGATGAAGTTTAGATCCACTTTGGTTTTTATTATTTTATTTACCTCATTTTCAAATAGAAAAATGGGTTTATTTCCTACAGCTTAACATTGTATGCTTATGAATTACTTAATACATATGTTTATTTAGATGACCCAACACAGTATAAACTGATATCTTAAATTATGTTGCATTTTTAGGACTGTTTCTGAAGAAATGGATTTTGTATGATTATTACTTGGGTATAGAAAAAATAAGTGGTTCTGTATTTTGTGCTAACTTAACGAAGCAAGTAATTTTGACTCTGGAGTACAGAAATGAGGAAAAGTAGGATGAGAAAGTATCTAGGTTACACAAAATAACTCTTGGAGCCACTTTTTGTTCAGTATCCAGTAATATCCCATGAAGGTATGCCACTCCAGAATTTTCTATACCATAATTTCTTAGCACAGAAGGAACTTAAGAAAATATTATGTACTATTACATGAGCATCTTTCGCCTCTTATGGATATAAACCATGATCAATTCTAAAAAATGATGAATTAATATCATTTCTAGTCTTATTATTTTGAAACATTCAGTCACAATGCTTTTCCCAAAGAATCATCATGTTAAGTTATAATTCTACAGTAGAAACAACTGACATATCAGAAAAAAAAACAAAACACATAAGTTCTTTTATAATAGCTTTTATCATTTGCTGACCCTCCTACACAAGATTCTAAAATTTTTCCATTATAATATGTAAATTTTAAACCCCAAAATGGTTTATTTACATAGGTTCCATCTGAATATGTTAGCATACTTCTCAATGAACCCATAAACTTATTTTTCAGGGAGAAAAAAGCCAGTGGAGTGACTTTCTTGTTCACGTTGAAATATGTTCAAATATGTTGGAAATTAAAATGTAAGGCTGATTTGTGACGAAGGCTGAGCACCTTTCATGAGGCAGCTCTGAATATACTTAGATGATTCTAATCACATTCAAGCTTACTGGATATATATCAAAGCTGACACACAGCAGATAAGCCTATGTTGAGTGTTATAAAGATTGAGAAATGATCCCAAGTTATAATTTTTCATTATCTGCTAGTGGAGAGAGGGAAAAAATCCTTTTATCCTGACAAATTCTTACCAAAATTATGTTCCTAAGAGAGAGTGTAATAAAATTCATATCCCATTAATATTTTCTTGAAATGTGATCTCTATGAATCTTATGTGCCTGGCATATAATATAGGTGCTCAAAAAAGTATTGGTGGGTAAATGGATCTAAGAGTGAATAAAAGAAGGGAAGAAGTAAAATTATACTCAAACAGTGAACATTTAGAGTTTGAGTGAGAGCACTGAGAATAAGAACACTCTGTCAAAGGGAACACCGGCAGAGGCATGGTAGAAAACTGTACTTAATTATGAATCAGAGAACATTAGCTGAGTTTCAACTCTGCAGCATTTCAAAAGAGTAAATGTGACTCCGTCATTATCTTTGAACAGCATGATGCCCAGTGCTCTGTGGTTGACTGAGCTCTGACCATACATGCTAAAACTACGGTTAGGACATCATCATAGAGGCCACTGTAATATGCAGTATAAAAGATTGTTGAGGGATCTAATTGAAATAAAATAGTATATGTATATAAATTTACTTAATAGCTACAAAGTCCTACATAAATTATAGATGTTGTTACAATGAATACTGTTAAAACAACTTCTCAAAGAACAAACCTGGTTTCTAGGTATGTAGTTTATCTTTCTTAAATCACATACCGGGTGTGATCCCATTGTCCTCAGGGGTATAAAACATGAAAAAATGTTTCTTAGAATCCATGAAATAAAGTATTTAAATATTTCTCTCTGAGAAGTTTTTTTTTTTTTTTGAAAACCCTCCAGAGCAGTAACCAGTTGACATATATGATTATTGTAAATTCCACTGAAGTATTTACTTAAGAGACCTTGACATTTTGCGGGTATGTTCTATAGTCATCATGGAATGTTCTGTGAGAAAGGAATATTCAAAAATATTTTTTAAAGCAGATGTTTCCATGAACTGAATGTGAAAGAAAATGTACTTCAGAGTTGATAAAACAAAACAAAACAAAAAATGATTCTGCCTATTTGTCTTCTTCAGAAACATAGGCCCAGTCACCATTATTTTAACTCAGTGCTTCTCCGTGAAGCTTTTCCCGATCTCTCCATCAGATCTGTTGTCATCTACTATGTGATAAGAATCTGTGATAAATACCTCTAAAGGGCATTTCCCATTGTGGATACAATCAGCCTCGTGTCTTACTCATTGGAATAATTCCTGAAATAATCTTTTCTCCTTTCCATGTGAACATTGAAGATGGTGGAAGTGGAAGTGCTAACATTCCGGATGTTACTTCAGTAAGGTTTCTAGGGAACTTTAGCAGAACCTTCTGCACAAGATCCCACATATCCATAGTTAAAGGACCTCCATAGACCTGAAACAGGAAAGTATCCAGAAAAAAACTGGAAAACACTTATTTTTCCTGACTTCAGCCAAAATGGTAAATCCTGAGATAAAGCATTAAGTGTGCCACTCTCCAAACCAGTGTTGGTAAAACACTAGCTTTAGCAGATGGTGAGAGATGTTTAGTGGGGAAAAAAAAAGATCGTCAAGTAAATTTAGAAAGTATATTTGGTGTGCATAGAGAAAAGAGTAGAGACTTTTGAAATCCAACAGAACTATTTCTAAATCTACCTCCCACTCATTGTCCTACAAGATGTCTCCTCCCTCAGATATGGACAATGATCACTATTTCACAGGTTCATTGTGATTAAATTAGATAATGATTAGGGCATATGCCTTCCCTAAAGTAGATGGTATCACTGTGAATTCCCAGTGGTTTTACCCGTTTTGTTAATCCTTTTGAACATCCAAGACATAAACTCGCTTGACTCTTAGAACACATAAACAATAATTAGTGATCCAAAGTAGGAATGTTCAGTTTGTTTTTTGGACATCCAGCAGTTCTATGAAAGTGGCCCAAAGGCCACCCTGAGAAGGGCTGGGGATCTGAGAGCTCTGATGGGAATTCTGTGAACTCTGCTTTTTTCTGTTTTTCTATCTATACACAGAAGACTCCAGTTAGACCTGAAGTCTACGCTTACGTCCCCAATGTCCCCAATTATCTCATCAACAATTCCACTTTCAGGCATCTGAATTTAACATACCTAAAACCAAACTTAATGATTCCTCAAACCACCCAGCTTATGTTCTCCTGCTTCCTTGTCTTACTAAACAGGAACATTGTTCTTCCAGAAGTTCAGGCCCCAAATTCTTGAGTTACTTCTGAACTTCCTTCTCTCACATCCTGCATTCAGTCCATTAGTAAGCACTTTGGGCTATTCCTTCAAAATATATCCCAATCCACTGAATTATCATCAACTCTACAGTTTACATTCTAGTCCAAAGGTTATTACAATGACATCCTAACTGGTATCTTTGTTTCTATTATACCTCCTTCAATCTATTTAACTTATAAAAAACAACCAGAATATTCCATTTAGAAGTAACCCTTATCTTGAAGCCCCTTTGTTCAAAATCGAAGTCAGCATCACATTTCCCTTAAAGAAAAACCAAAGGCTCTGTTATACTGTAAGGGTCTATCCAACCTTAGATTCCAGTTCCCACTCTGACCTTGTCTTCCCTTTGCTAACTCAGTTCTAGTCTCCCTAGGTTCCTTGTGAAGTTCAAGTGCTCCAAGCATGTGCCTGCCACAGGAACTTTTAATACTGTGAACCTCTACCTGGAGTGTTCTCCCAGTATTACATGTGTTGCATGTCACTTCCTTCTGCTTTCTGCTCAGATGTCTGATAAAGAGTCTCTGTCAACTAATTTAAAAGGGCTTCCCCATATTCCAAGGTAACTTTACCTGCTTGTTTTCCTTTTTTTTTTTGAGAGGGCATCTCTCATATTTATTGATCAAATGGTTGTTAACAACAATAAAATCCTGTATAGGGGAGTCAGTGCTCAATGCACAATCATTAATCCACCCCAAGCCTAATTCTCATCAGTCTCCAATCTTCTGAAACATAACGAACAAGTTCTTACATGGTGAACAAATTCTTACATAGTGAATAAGTTCTTACATGGTGAACAGTACAAGGGCAGTCATCACAGAAACTTTCGGTTTTGATCACGCATTATGAACTATAAACAATCAGGTCAAATATGAATATTCGTTTGATTTTTATACTTGTTTATATGTGGATCCCACATTTCTCCCTTTATTATTATTATTTTTATTTTTAATAAAATGCTGAAGTGGTAGGTAGATGCAAGATAAAGGTAGAAAACATAGTTTAGTGTTGTAAGAGAGCAAATGTAGATGATCAGGTGTGTGCCTGTAGACTATGTGTTAATCCATACCTGCTTGTTTTCTTAATAGCTCTTATAACCTCCAATTATAGTATGTATTTATTAATAAATTGGTTTATTGCCTCCAACTCTTTCATGTCCTTAAATACAAGATTAATGAGAGTTGAGTCACATCTATTTTATTAAGGGTTATACCTCTAGCACTGACAATATGCCAGGAACATAGTAGGTACTTTCTGATTTATACATAGATTGCTGATACCCTTTTGAATTATAAACATACTTAAAAAAATACTTAGAATTTTTAAATTAATTTTAGCAGACTGAATAAATGTGCAATAACATACCATTTGTAACATATGCAAGAAAGGAATTGGAAGAAATGCTTTGTGTCCCCTGTCTTTTTAGTGATTTAAATCAGTTCTGCAAATTATTAACAGGTATACAGTTAGCATACAAGTATTTAATGAATATTAGCTGTTACTGTATGTATAATTTCCTACTCTCTGCATGTCTATTTGTGGTATTTTTTAAATCCTTTTTAGATATTGGAGATACAGTGAAGAAATGAAAACAATGGATCCTGGCTATCCCAAACCAATCACAGTCTGGAAAGGTATCCCTGATTCTCCTCAGGGAGCCTTTGTACACAAAGAAAATGGTATGTAATATGTGTTTCGTGAGTTTACTAAATATTTAAAGAATGCATTCTACTTTTTCATCTGTGTTAAGTCATTAGAAAGTGACATATTAGGCTTATATAATATTTTATTTACATAAACTTTCCTATACATAAACTTTCCTAGATTGACATTTAATACGTACACCAGATGATTTTTAGCCTCAATTTATTTTACTTTATAAGAAAGAAATTTTTTTTTTAAATGGATGGTGTGGATACCTTTGCAGTATTGTCACCTATTTTTCTACTAAAATTCCTGTAAAGATAGTAGCAGACATACATGGGACAGGAGCTGGTCACAAGGAAAATAAATTATAATGGCAGACTAAGATGCAGAGACACCTGAATATAGTGTGTGTTGAAGATTATAGTTGTTCATGTGTACCTTTGGTTTAAACTGTCAGTGAACAAGGAAGATCCCACTACAAGACAGTTAAGCTGCAGTGAATGTATGATTGCTTTATAAAAAGAAACACATCAGAAAGCTGCTTATGTTTCTTGCTCTCCATTTTAGGATTTGAAATTTGGACAGATCTAAATGGAAGGCAAGCCACTAATGGATAATCCATACTCCCCTATCTATTGGCATATATAAAGTCTGAACATTTCCCCCTCATTCAGGGATTAATAAATAGGAATAAATCATAATAATTCAGAAGAGAATTTATACACAATATTCCAGAACAAAATAAAAAGAGAGAAATTATGAAATACAAAGAGAAAACAGACCCTGTCAAATGATTTATAACAGTAACCAGAAGAAAACATAGTATTATGTTAATATGTTACTTGGGTCTTCAATAGCATGAAAAGTTTATAAGATGTGCAACAAGAACAAAATCAACATCACTTACAAGAACAAAATTAAATGCATCTAGAGGAGGAAAGAACAGAGTTTAATGAAGAAATAAGGGAAAGTGAAAAATCAACACCACCACTGAAAACTAGGATTAACCATTAGCATGTTGCCAAAGTTTAAGAAAACTTAACACTGAGTATAAATTTTAAAGAACTGAGACCCAGGATGAATAAATACCAATCGAAAAAGTCAAAGAACATAAGCTGTTTTTTGACTTTTATTATACATAGTGATACACTATTTTCTGTAATAGAGATTTGATTCAATTTCTCTGGAAATAAATCATAACTATATAAAATAACAAAAAAGTTTTTCTTGCCCTCTGCCTCATGATTTTTCAATTCTAGTCCATATAGAAATTCAATAACATTCATTTAGTAATTAAACCAGTGAAATTGTGCTAAAAAGTATATCCCATATTTCTTTCAGAAATTGTTTATAAGTAACTATGAAGAAACACATTAACATTTTTAAAATTAGAATATTTAATTGTATTCCTTTTTATGCTATAATAACATAATTAACACAATACTATTGATTTCCACCTCTATGAAGATTAGTACTTAGTCAATTTTATGTGTTATACAAAATAGAACTGAGAATTGCAAGATCCTATTTCCATGAGCATCTTCCCACTATCTTTCCAACCCAAGGGTAAGTTCCATAAGAAAAAAACATTCCCTTATATTCAGAATTTGATGGCTTCTTTTCACACAGCAAAGAGTAACTTTGTAAAATACTGACAAAGAAACGAAACATGTTTGGAAAAGCAGTGCCTTACAAATGACTAAAAACTACAGATGAAACTTCAACAGCTCTATGTCTCCTAGACCTTTCCTAGTCCAGTCCCCTCTTCGATATCCTTCAGCATTGAGCTCAGTCTTCATCTCTCAGAAAATCCTCCTTGAGCATCCTGTTTTGTTACCTTATCCGTGGCACTAAAACTCTCATATCACAACAATCAGCATATATGCCCACTCTTCCCTCCAGTGTAAACTCTCCTAAGGCAGTCACATAGTAAACATTCAAAGAATATTAGCTGTTGAAATTAATTTTACCCTTTCCATTACTCTAAAAATTCACTTCCTGAATTGCAAGAGCAATCTTATTTTTCTGAAACCCTTGTTCTGTAGATTAGCAGTAGCAACCAAGTCTGGAAGTAGTTTACCAAGAGCAGCTTCTCCATTTATTTTCTACTCAAATCTCATGCTTCTGGCTTCTTACCTTAAACTCGTATTTTACACAATGTTTCCCTTAGGTTTGTGTGTGAAAGATAGGAGGGTCAAATTATTAAGTCAACATACTTATATTTCTATTTATATTTTGACTTATATTTTATATAGTAAGTCCATGCATGTGATATTTGGTGAAATGTTTTTTGTAGACTGCCCTTCCTTGTAATCTCTACTGATGGTAATTTTTCTTTGTAATTCCACAAATTCAGCTATAGATTTTTGAAGGATTTGTCATATACCCATTGATATTAAGTCTGCCATCTGGACCAATGAACTATGAATAATTGATGCTATTTATTATCTACCATATATCAGTTGTGCTATATAAATTCATTTCCTTTGATTTTCCAGCACAAATACCTCTTTACTTCATTTGTTATTATTTATAAATGAGAAAACTTACCTCAGCTAGTTTATGTAATTTACTCATGATGATGAAAGTGGTAAGACAATGTATTTAAATTAAACATTTAAAGTTTGAAACTAGAATATTCTAGCCCCACTGAATGTGCTCTACTACACTGTGTCCAAAGAGGTACAGTTGACATCCTTTTCTACATTATATCATTAAAATTAATTGATGATCAGTCATGTCTAGCTTAATGTTTCATGTTGTCATACTACACAAATCCAGGCTTTCTCAGAATATAGTTTCCTGAGCCATCCTCAGGTTTTTCACCTGTAACCACCTTAATTAACAATTTTCTTGTGTTCCTCTTTACTTTTAGCCCTTGAAAATAATCATAATTATCTAAATGAAATTTTACTTATGCAGAATATAGTGGAACAAGGTAAACAAAAAATTCTCCTTTTCACACTATTGCATTTCATTTTGGTGATTGCGACTCCACTCTTAGACTATCAAAATAGTTTGACTCTTGATTCTGTTGATTTGGTGTATTAATTCTCTACCCTTCCTCACTCTTTGTTAAAATATGGAGGTGATTCAGATATTCCCACAAGATTCATTTTTTTTCTTACTCGTATTTGTTAACAATAGTTAACTTATTACTAATAGATAAGAGTGAAAAACAGAGAAAACCTAAGCACTGAAATCCTGAATCATCTACTAAGTTATAACAAGACAATTAATGGTGGACAATGTCTTATTACATTTTAGGACCAAGTAATAGAAAACTTGTCAGTAAAACCGACTCAGGAAAAACAAAAAAGGTCATCAAATAATACATTGTAACTCCACTGATTTCTTTCTCAGAATTTCTCAAAAATTGATAATTCAGGCAAGAATTCATCTGAAGTAGCTACTGTTAATTAAGCATAACATCTCCAAGAGTACACCACCAAAATTACTCTTAAGAAGGAAAAAAATTAATACATAAACATTTTTTCAACCAATTGCCATTTCATAAGTTGTGGGTAAAAAACAAACCTATAGGATTGAATGAGATAAATTTTGTGGGATCAAGGTTTCACCGGTTTCTACTAAAATTTCAGGCCACTTCTTTTCAAACACTTTTTTCTAACTCCTATTGTCCAGACTTCCTATCTCCAACAAATTTATTCAGTAAACTACAATTCTATCCCTGTATATGGAGTATGTTACTACAAAATTTGTTCCACAAACATGATAAATATGAAACCGGAAACTTCTGAATTTTTGTATGACACCAGAAGCTTCATAGTAATTAGCTTTGACTGAAAATTAAAGATGGGGACACTTCCAGCTGTTGGCTTACAGTTTATAAATATAAGAAGCGCATTCACCTGTTTTGAAGGTCTGTTTAATTCTAAATCAATGCCATTATTCAACTATGATCATCTAATGTACTACTATTTGGCAGGCCCTCAACATTTCTTCATCCAAGCTTATGGAGTAATTACGTTGGATTTCATTAGTGTGATCAAATACCAACTCCCTGCTGAAATATTTGAATCTACATACACCTGTTTTCACTTGGCAAGTTGCTCTGATTGCAAAACTGCCCTTCAAAACTAGCAACAGCAGATTTTTATGGCATCAAACAGAATAATTTCCAAAATGAAGTGACCTGAATTGATGGTCTGTCATAGCTGAAATTTTTTGAGAGATGTCAGTTTTTATGTCAGAGGTGATATCTATCACAATCTGTGATGTTTAACCAAGAATATTTTTTAAAAGACAAGAGATCTCTAAAAGACTGAGTATTGGAAAAATCATTGAGTTCAGGCTCTAGAACTAGACCAACACTTAAATCCTGCTTTCAGCAGAACCTGGACAAATTATTTTATCTCTGAGCTTCAGTATCTTTGCCAAAAAGGTACAGATAAATTAATTCTACCTGGTGGAGTGGTTATAAGAATTATAAGGTATCACTTACTGAGTCTTTAACACAGTGCTTTTTCCAAATACGTGCTCAATAAAAAAGGAAAAAGAAAACCCTCATTAATGATTATTAACTCTAAAGGTGGCATACAATTCAAAATAGGTAGCTCCCAACAAAGTTTTTAAGTAATTACAACATTAAAAAATTTCTTCTTGATTTCTGTCTCAAAGCCAGAATTAAGTCCTAGGTATGTATCCACAAAGAAAATGGATAGGAAAGAGCTGTGAATGGTAAGAAAAATCTAAATACGTGCCCAACAAAAATTGAGAAAAAATTCTGTGTAAAACATATATTTTTGCAGTTTAATTGTTATAAGTTTATAAAGTCTATTATCTGCATATGCATCTGTAATATTTTAGAACATAAATCAATCATGTGTATTGCTAGTTAGTTGAGCCTTCCACATACTACCTCTTCTGCCATGAGATATATTAGTTGGAAGTATTAAAGATAGAATTGTTGAGACATTTATACTCTATTAATCTTTTACTATAAAAGTAAAGAAGGAAGTTTAATAAAGAGGACAGAAAGTGAAGGGGCAAAACGGGGCATGACCTAGAGCCAGAATTAAGGTTAATGCACAAAATACTGTATATACCTACTTATTAAGATTCCTAGCAGACAAAACATCTGTAGTTTTCATGATTTATGAATTGTTATGATTTCTTGTCCAAATGACAAAAGCAAACCTATTGTTTAAGCCCAACTGTTCTTGATACTAAGATGATTCAAAATTTTCCTTCTGCTGTTTCATGGAAAAAGCCTCCTTACAAAGCCTTGTACAATACCTTTGATTAGCAGGTTGAGGGCAAACGGCTCATATGAGGCTGTTTAAGAATCTTTCAATATAGGTTGATGTTATCGCACTTAAATGTGTCATTCTGTGACAGCAACCCTATAACTAAGAAACAGAATGAAGTCATCTTTGTGGAGTGGGCTAGCAGCAGATCTGGACAGCACGGTCTGTCCACAGTCCTCTCCAGATAACAGTTCTCTCTCCACCAACTTGCCCGAGGCATGAGAGGGCGGAGCACAGATCCCGGAGCACAGCAGGCAGATCCATTTCAACAGACAGCTGAGCCAAGGATAATGTTTTCTTCCTACAAACACTGAGGGGTCCTAAAATGCATTTTCTAGAAAGTAGCCTATTAAATTAAAATTTTTGTACATCTATCCTTTCAAAATAAGTGGTACCTATGTGTGTGTGTTTCCCCCCTTCCCCCAGGCTTTACATATTTCTACAAAGGAAAGGAGTATTGGAAATTCAACAACCAGATACTCAAGGTAGAACCTGGATATCCTAGATCCATCCTCAAGGATTTTATGGGCTGTGATGGACCAACAGACAGAGATAAAGAAGGACACAGCCCACCAGATGATGTAGACATTGTCATCAAACTGGACAACACAGCCAGCACTGTGAAAGCCATAGCTATTGTCATTCCCTGCATCTTGGCCTTATGCCTCCTGGTATTGGTTTACACTGTGTTCCAGTTCAAGAGGAAAGGAACACCCCGCCACATACTGTACTGTAAACGCTCTATGCAAGAGTGGGTGTGATGTAGGGTTTTTTCCTTCTTTCTTTTCCAGGAGTTTGTGGTAACTTGAGATTCAAGACAAGAGCTGTTATGCTGTTTCCTAGCTAGGAGCAGGCTTGTGGCAGCCTGATTCAGGGCTGACCTTTCAAACCCAGAGGGTTGCTGGTCCTGCACATGAGTGGAAATATGCTCGTGGGGAAGCTTCCATGATGCACAGTATCTGCCGTTCTTCAGTCCTTTGTCTTTCTTTGTCATTCAGTTCTAGGCCTTTCCTCTGCACGCTCAATGCCCAGTAAATTTTCAGGATTACCTAAAGAAGAGGAAAAAAAAAGAAGAAAAGATTCTTCTTAAAGGTTTCTAATATTATTTTCCTTCTGAAATCTGAGCCCATTTCTCGGGGGAAAAAGCAAAATGGAAAACCCACAAATTTTTGCTTAAAGCAAAGGAAAAAAAAAAAGTTAAGCAAAAACCCACAATTGAACTTTCAGGAAAGTGTGAAGACCCAAAATAGCTTTGTCTCCAAAGAAGATCGCTCTCTGACCACTATGGATAGTCTCCTACGCTTCATTTTTGTCAGGTGGGAGATCTGGAATACACATGCAGGACTTCAGACTGTTGGGACAGCCATTTTCCAACAAACAAGGGGCCAAAATATCTGCAATATAGTAACAGCCTTAATATACATCCATTTTTCATTTTATACAGCTGTTCTCAGCTATGTCCTCAATGTTTCATCACATTTATATTCATAGCTATATTCGAACAGGACCTTATAATTGTTTTTGAAGTGTTTCTAAACCCCTTCCTGCCATCTTACCCTGATATCATTGTGATAATCTCCCCAAGTTGTATTAGGCCATTGCCCCAGGCCTTCCAAAGGTCTGTCAGGAATATTCATTTTAAACAAAGCAAGAAGCCGTATGTCTCTGCAGTGGTTTAAAATGACAGTTATTTTACAAGGATTTGTGACATTAGTAGTACATTGGTGTAACCCTTTGAGAACTATCAGATCAGCCTTCAGAGTCAGGTTTGTCAGTCTTGCTGTCTGGCAAATTATAGAACTGGGCAATGGTAGAAAGCAGGCACAGTTTCCAGAAGTTCAGGTTTTAAACAGACATCCTGTAACCCCATGTAATTTTAAAGTGATTTATGGTACTACATAAATGCATTTATAACAAACAGGAATGATGTTACTTGCCAAAACTTTTCTGGCAAATAAAAAGGTATTTTATTAAGTATCTGGCAAGAGTGAAATTTTATTTGAGCAACTGATTACAATAGCCTTCTTATTTCGTTCGTAGATATATTGAATTTTTTTTTAAAGTCCATTGCATGAAACTTCAGTTTGTCTTGGTACATGCAGTGAGCACTACCATTTTTAAAATGCACAGAAACGATGACTCTGAGATCGCATGCATATCCTCCAGCGCATTACCTATTGCATGGCAAACATAGTTCTCAAAGGGTTAGTGTGGCAGCTGGCATTTAGCCATGCGTTTGATCACTGACAGAGCCAAGAGACCACCAAAGCGTTTCGTTGTTGAGTGTAATTTGTCCTAACAGCAGTATTGTCATTTTCATGTGACCTGCAGAGCAGGTTTGTATCAATATTTTTTTCCTAGAGAAAAGTCAGCAACTGACAGACCTCTTTATTGATTTCTAGGAGCTGCTTCTTGCAGTGAAAGGCTTTACAGCCACTGGGCTGTGAACTTATTAAGAGATGGTCAGACTGAATGCACCCCATGAGTCAGACATTGGCTTTGTGTGAAAGCCAGCTTTGGAGGGGATTAGCTTTTGAAACAATGAATAGCTTGCATTGAACTTGATTATTGATCTGTTGACTGTCATTAACAACTTAAACATTGTCTTCTGTGAGACTTTTTCCTTGAAGAGTCCTGTTCTGTGTCTCTGCCCTTTGACCTTTAACTTGCAAACTGGCACAAACTGAAGGAAATCCGGTGTTGCTTCTCCATTGGAGTGCTAATTGTTCTCTAGAAACCTAGCAAACATGAGCTGTTCCCTTAGAGTGGAGAGAGAGTGTGGACGATAGATCTACAGATGGACACTTTGCTCTTTACATGCACACTCAAAAAATGCCCTATAGGTAGAAGTGACTTTTAATTTTCCTTTAATATAATTTTGAGTCTAAATTCATCATTTTAGTATAAATATAAAACCATAGGGGAAAAAAAACCCTCAAAATACTTGAATGGCCAGTGTGGCTTTTATATAAGCAGGAATTTTATACTAGTGAAAATTTCTTACTCATTTGCTAATAATACACATTTCCAGATGATTTTTAATGAGTGTAGGTATACATTCTTATTTGGAAATGGATGGTTTGGCTGCCTTGAATTTATATTTATACTCAACATAGCATGGAAATTAGAATGCCTTTCAGTTGAACATGTTTATAATTTGGTTGGGGAAATATTTTGTAATCATAGGTGGCATGCTGCAAAGCCTTGTTGTTTCTTACAACCTGGACATATAATGTAAGGCAAAGAAAAAAGAACAGTTGAAAAGGAGGAGTAGGTTTACAGCTAAACATTATGCAATACAGATTGTATTTTGGTGAGATGCCAGAGATGATGTGTGTGAGGGCCAAGAAAGCAAGGGGGAGGAACAATTAGCTCTGCAGCTTTATTTCAGTGCTTCCATTCTAGACAATGCTGATATTATAAAGTTTGTCACTTCTGCTGAGCACGGAGGATTATATACATAAGTTCACTTATACAGTGTTTGCTTGTGAGGGGGTTTAATCCTTTTAGGACCTTGTTCTCAAGAAAAAGAAATGACTGGAAATTATATTTTCCTAAAGGGAGAAAAAAGGAACTATGTAACTTTGGGACATGTGTAAATCATTGAGGAATTCCATCAACCTGCATTGAAAACTAATATTTTTTTCCTCTAAAATGGGAAAGAAACTGAAGAAGCAATCTTTTGCCTCTTTACTCATTTGTCACAATATCCTGACTCATCGCAAGACTATAAGTATATAAGGGCTAGAAAATAATCTTAGCATGAAGAAAGGAAGACTCTGTCATTATTGAATTATGGAAATGTCATGAGTATTAGGTCATATTTATTTCAAAATGAGATGAAACTTATGTGATAAGAAAAGACATATGCATCTTCTCTCTTTACCAAAACATTTAAATTTTCAGGCTGTGAGACTACAAGAAATAAGAAAACATGAAATACAGCATAATCACAAACATCGACATTGTAAATGTTTATTGTACACCAGGCACTTTGTGAGTATGGTTGCTGACTCCTCTTCCACTGGGGTTTTGGAAAATAAATCTCAGTCCTAATGGAATAATGAAAGGGAGAGATACTAATTGGTCTAGCACATAAGAATAGTGGTCCCAAAACAACATGGACTAAATTTCAACAATGTAATATACTAGTTCAGTATAATAGAAAGATACAGCCTATCAAATATTTTCATAATCCCATCATTCATAGCATGGAAAGGTCAGGTTTAGTTTTCCAAATTTAAATGAAAACCCATTCATGATCACAAAAAATAATTCTCCTTGTGTTTCATTATTTCTCATTACTTTAATAGAAATACAAATGTAAACAAGGTAATGTTCCTTATGTAAATTAACTATGTAGTTTATGATTGTAGTCAAATATTGTTCTCTATATTATTAACAAGTCTGAATGAAGTATTTAAATAGATGATCAATCTGTATTCTCTATAAAACAGTAAATCCACATGAGACCTGTAGAAGAGGTTGTGAATTTAACTATTGACTCATTTCAGAACGAAGTGTCTGCTGACATGGCAATCAGAACAGATGAATACAGATACTCTTTACAATTGCAAAGGTAACACATAAATTAGAGAACATTATATGATAAGCAAGACAACTTCTGTTATAAATCAGAGGGCAAGGCTTTTCTGAATCAGATATAATAAATTACTAAGTAATAATTTACAAAAAATAATTACTAAGTAATATAGGATAGAGACTGACTTACTGAATAAGCAAGTGTTACTTTTACTAGTCAGATTGCTTGTAATCTTTTTCTACTGACACACAATTTGTTTCAAATACAATATACTTATTTTTATTCCCTTTCTGTGGGTGACTTAAAAATAGCAATGTGGTGGATGAGAACATTGCCCAACTTCACTAGTAATTCCAGTACATGAATGATGTGTATATACTGGATCCTGGGCATAGTAATGTAATACGTTCAAGATCTACATACTATACTGATATCTCTAGTATGGTACAAACACATACCACACTTTGTGGGCCTTACAGTAGAATAACTAATGTATCCATATTGACCTCATGAATGGTGGTGAAATCTTTGTCATCAAATATGACAGAGTTCATTTAATTTTAGATGCTCTTAAGAGCACATTCCAAAGTATCACCAATGTCAAACAGAGCATGCCATCTAAACCAAAAATGTTGAATTCAAATGAGCTATTACAAATAGCTGTGAGTACAATCTCAGCCAATATATGATATCAAAAGTTTAAGTCAATAGTATTAGAGGAATAACTGTTCCACTGCTTCCACTGCATCTCATGATCCTGATTTATTTTGACCACAGGTTGTAACTGGCAGAGCATATGTGTGTTACAGATTCCATGTTGCCTAGAAGGGAACCATAGCTACATAGAAAAGCTTTATCAGTTACATTTAAAAATTAGAACTTTATATAATAAAGCACCAACTAAGAATAACACCCTACCCTAAATATGAAAGCTAAATATTATATTTATAAATATAATGGAAATGGAAGAAGAGGAAAAATGCATCTTTTGTAAAATATAAAAGTATACTATAGCACTCCTTATTAAAACTGGAAACTTTAATTTAGCAAGTATAAAAATAGTAAAGAAAAATGCAACTTTCAAGCTTCACACTAGTGAAGGGTATGTGACATATCGATGTATATAATTAGCCAGTGGTCATTAGATGTTACCCTGCATAAACACATTGGATGCCCATGCATTGTTTTATGGGGTAAAGTGTCAAAGTTAGATGTTCAGTAACCTCAGTTGGAAAGATGTATAACATTAGAATCTCTTGAGAAAAGCCATTTCCCTAGGATAGAAATTTACCTCAATAATCATAACACAAGAACACTTGGCATAGAGTAAACAAGTTGCCTTAGTGTTATAGTCTCCTCTGATGATAACCTTTGTTCTTTCCTGTACTACTTAAGTAATTTTTTATTTGTTTCCATTGGTGTAATTTTGAAATGAATCTGAGATATTTTAAGTCAGGTTAATAACATCCAATTACAAATAGTCTCTCAATATTTTATACATCTACTTCAAAATTTAAACCAATAGTGTGTAAAGCCTAAGAACAAACACTGATTTAACAAATTCACAGAAGTTGAGTGAAAGGTGGATTTGATATTATAATACTTCTGTCAATTTTGTGGTAGAATACTGAAGTAGCAGCATTTCATTTTAAACATAATTGTGAGCTTATAACTGGACATGACATGTATCATTTTTTTGAACAATGCCAATTCTTCATATTAAGTATAAATTGTGAGTGCTATAACAGTACTTCATAGGCACTCATAACTAAAGCTCTTTAAGGGAAACAAGGGCATATCGAATAACTCATGGTCAGTGTACAGTAAGTATAAAAAGTTACATGTGAAAGATACTTATTTCTGAAGTTCCTAGGCCTTTTCAATTTAAAGAGCAGTGTGTCTTAGAATTTATCTTATATTAATATTGGACTGGAAATAACATTTAAGTTTGCACTCACCATGTTCTTACATTCAAGGGCACCCTGGACAGTGTAGGACAAGTATAAATTAGAATGTTGTGCTGATTCACATAATTTTGCCATGTGCTCTGTTATAGAGCTGGATTTATATGCCCTTAAGAAGGGAGAAGAAAGCCAATTAAATATAAATATGAAAATATGATAATTGTATCATATTAGGCCACTTAGCTTCAGAGTCAGATGTCATTAACCCTTATTTCACATAAAAAAAACAAGAATGGTGAACATGAATAAAATTATTAACTTTTTGACTTATGAAGATGTTTCTGGAGTATTTTATTCACTTGTTTTTTCTACTAAAAATATCCCTCAAAACACAGACATTTTGGTAGCACTTGGTCCATAGCTAGATTGGATCTCAGTCTTAATACTTTTGACACAGGTTTTTTTATACCTGCCTCATATACAATGAAGCTTGGTTAGATGTGACTGCATGGTAAGATGCTCTTTCCTAGGGTAGGATATGGTGCTGCCTGTACATGCCACCTTTTGAATGAATGTATGTCTCTACATTGGCCTGGCTGGCCAAGATATGAATGAATAAAGCCTGGTGTGAGCTGAGTATTTGAAAAGTCACTAGAACGCATGTCTCATTTGTCCTTAACGTAATGCCAGTTGGAACTTGTTCCCTTTCTATATATTGGCAGCCCAGTTGTGAAGGTGAAACATACTTTTCTTTAATGAATGATTCAATCCTTAAATCAGTGTCATAGCTTTTTTTTTGCTACCACTGAAATAACATCACAGAGGCAACATTATTGCCTGTCTTCTCACAGCTCTTTAATACATACCACTGCCTGGGTAAAATTAGGTTATTTGTTCTTTTTGTCACTTCTTTTGTATCAGACATGGAATCCATTATCCCTTTATATCTTCATAAATACAAATGTCCACAATCTTAGTTACTTTGTTGCTCCAAACAAACATGATTCCCAAACAAGGATGATTGTGTGCCCGGTTTTTCTGCTCCTCTCATTCTGTTTTGCTTTCTCTGTGTCACCCAAAAATACAGCTGGTTGGGAAGGATGTATTTATTTTGTGTTCTCTTATGAAGTCTGTGCCTGTATTTGTATTGCTTTCAATTTCCATCTTGTCCCTTATTTTCACAGATTTGAATTTTCCCTTCCCTTTGTGAAAACCTGAATGGAGCAGCATCCTACATGCCCAGAAAGTATGTCTTTGTGCCTCATTATTTTCCTTCACAAGTTCCATGCAAAGACTTAATCCCAGTCCATTTCACACACCTCCCAATTTCTTGCATTGGATTCTAATTTTTTACATATTCCCTTGAGAAAAGTGAAATGCTGAGTATGGAGGCTATTGTCTGTTGATAAGCACGCTAAGGAAGTTTCCTTTTGGAAAATGTATCTTAAATAATTATACAGGAAAATAAATACCATTATATATAGTGTTCTGTTTAAGGTATATCATGAGTACCTAAATGCCTCAAACCTCTATTCTTTGGTCTATTTCCCTTTAGGTGTAAATTACATATGTATTAAAAAGAGAGAGAGAGTAAAAGAATAAGGGGTGTTGTAGTGGCAGCTTTTTGCTGCGTTGGTTTTGACCGCATCATATTTCTGTTGTGGACCTCTATTTTCAGGGGTTTTAGAGACTTGCCCATAAAAATTTGCTTCAGGCTTAAAAGTCTTGAAAGATTTTTTTTAGGTATATAATTTTAAACAAATATATCTTGTTTTTATATTATAGGAGGGAAATAAATGGAATTTACTAGTTCAATTTTGTGCTAATATAACTTTTAATAAGCCTAATTTTTTAACAAAAACATAAAATTTAATTAGTCCATAGTCTATTGATGGTTTTTAAAAAGAATCAATTACTGACATTGAGAAAATTGCCTGCTTCATCAGTGTAGTAACTTATCTTCAAGGTGATTTAAAACTTGTATACTTGTATTAACATTATCTTGATCCCAGTAAGTAGATCAGTATGATAATGAACGCAATTTATGCTGTCCATATGAGCTATCTGGTAATATAGATTTGGAAATATATAGTGTGTGTGTGTGTGTGTACACACATACACATACTAGGGAGATTAAGGGGAAAAAGCTTCCATAAATTTAGCTTGTCAAATAAATACCATATATATTTTTTTAAATTCTGCATTTTATCTTTCAGAGTCAGAATGAGATGCAAGCAATTGCAAAGGAAAATTCTCTCTTGGGTAAACAATACACCTTTTATAGCTTCTAATGAAAATCATTTTTCTTTTCTACATTGTGGTTATGGGAAATTAAAAGAATTTAATGCATAAAATTAATGCAGACTTTATTTAAATAACATTAAACTGTAAAGGAGAAACACTAGGAAATTAAATATTTAGGCCATTATCTTTGGTTGTCTGACAATACTTTACCTTTATCTTAATTCCCATGATATTTTCAATTATGAAGAGAGTATTAAAATCTAACTTTAAGATTCTGGATTGTTCACATTGCACTCAACACCACCTCCTTACGTTTTTGATAATATGTAGTCTTCTGTGTGCAAGGAAAGAAAGAAATAACACATTTATTTGCTGAATGAGTTTTAAAGTTTGCCAACTGTTAGTGGCTTTTTGCCCACACAGGACATTATACATTTATACCATCTTAAATCTGACATTTTTTTTTTTCAGATAGCTTCTACTGACAAACACAAAGCTTGTTTGTGTGCAAATATAAGGCTAAATAAATGGTGCTAAAGTGTATTATGACTGTCAGATATAATCAGGCAAAATTTTGTGGTGCTTAAATTAATTTTTTCATTGATTTTATTGATCAATGCATTGAACAGTGTTTATTATTCACAAGTTGTCTTTTATTAGTAAATCAAGGCCTCATAGCACATTGTTAAATAAAATGATTGATTAGTCTATGTAACAGCTCACCAAGCTACTATCTCTTAACTCCTTATAATGTTGCGTCATTAAAGGTCAAGGGGTCGTGCTATTAATCTCATTGCTGTAGACCATTAACATGACTGAACTTTTCCACAAGTACTTATGTTTACAATGCTATAACCCTTTGACTGCTGCGGCAACCTTTAACCACACAAATGTCACAAGCTAGAATCATCAGCATGGTTCTTGCCATGGCAATCAAAGAGTTAAGGGCTGTGCAGTGATTTGTTTGTATTTATTAATTTATATTTATTTTGTTTTCATTCAAGGAGGGGATTTTGGGTGGGGCAGTTTTTGTCTGCTGTAAGTGTCTTAACCTAGGGAAGAGTTAAATGGCTTTTTATACTATTGCATCTTCTGTATTTACCATCAAATTCATTGTGTTGTAATTAAAAAACTGTCAATAAATAAGAGAACAGAAAAATGGTTCATAGACATTGTGGTTTTACTCAATGAATGATATATATACATTCATGACTAATATGTAGGCTGTAATCTCTAACAGTAGCCTTAATTACCTGTCTTCCTAATCAGTATGAAACAGAAAATGAAAACTCTTAAGTAATTTAGGCCAAAATTTCTTGTGTATTGTCCTAAATTAACAAGTATTTTAAACTGGCCACATCAGCTGGAGAATTGTTTAACAACTAGATGCATATGAACATGAACAAGGACAGGAGAAGGAAGCATTTCTGCATCAAGTGTATTTCAGGCAAGTACCCATGAACATAGGATGTGTTAAGATTTCATCACCACTTGACCAGAATAAAAGTTAATTTTTGGGTAGGTGAGTATAACTTACTGTTTAAAGTCACACATCATGACTGTCTAGGTAAAGTTAATCAAAGGAGTTAATTTTTATAACAAAAGTCTGGCAGAATACTATTTAAGGACTTTTTTTCTTTTAATGATAGGGCTGTAGTAAAGGATGGCCATGAATGAAGAACTAACAGAAAACAACAGTAAAAATAAACATTTTCATATCTAATATTTTAATAAATTATCTCAAACACAGGGTAAACTGAAATCTCTTAAGAGTATCAAACAGTGCATATAACTGAATGCTGAAGCAAGAGTTTCCTGAAAATCAGATCTATTATCTATCAATAGTTCCAAAAGGTCATCTGAATTTTAGGAAGAAATAAGAATACATATTGGGAATAAAAAGGTGTTTTCTCATGCAAAAAGCAAGTTGCATCTGTGCACCAAGAAATTAATGTTATACATTTTAACCCACATGTGGAAGCAGAGTTCTGAAGCAAGGTAACTAATATGATCACAGGAATTTAATTGTCTGAAGTAATCAGCAGGAGACTAGAGGGATGGAGAACTGTTTGTGCTAAGTGTTGGAAATATGCATCTAAGGCATTGAATCTTTGGGAATTTGGAGATCTATCTCAAAGAGTTTAAAGGGAGACACAGAAGAGCTGTTTTGCTTTTGGAACATGTCAGCACACAGGAACCTACAAGTTTAGCCAACCAACAATATAGTCTTCTTTTTATTTAGTAGAAGGCTTTTAAACAAAAGATAACCTTTAATTTTATAAGGCTATTAACAATGTGAAACCATAAATATCAGGCTAAATCCAAGAATGAATCTCCTTTGTTTTTATTATCCAAGACAGGAAAAAAAGAAAGGTCTGGAAATAACAATCTGACCCAGTAGAGGATTTATTTTTCTTAGGTACCTAAATTTTATTTTAATTATTTAATACCAAAACACACTATTACATCTTCTATCTTACATGATTTTTGCCATGATCAAAGATGAAATTGGAATAATTTTGGAGAAAAAAATCCAGAAAGGGTTATTGAGTACCTAATAACATACCTAGCACACTATAAAACCTAAATTTCATGTACTGAGGTCAGTGATAATGTTTGCATTTTTTAAATTTTTTGCAAAAAGTATTTGAATGGGCCGAGTTTCAAACCATCTTTTATTTAGAAATGAAAAATTAATTGGAGCAATTAAAAATCAATAGATTGGAAGACAAAGTTAAGTCCCTTGGAGAATACAACAAAAAAGAAAGATAAAATATTAGAGCAAGATGTTAGAAAATTAGAGAAGATATCCACAAGTCCAAAAAGTACAATATTCATTCACTGGAGTTCTAGAAAAAGAGCAGAGAAGGTGGAGGAGAGAAACAAGCATGCAATTTGATAAGACTATCCGAAAGTTAGAGACATGAGTTTCCAGATTGAAAGGGCCTATAGATACACAGTATTGATGGATGAAAATAGACACAGAATAAGGTGTATGTCATTGAAAATTCAGAGCATGGAAGCCAACTGCTCTTCCTTTCCTCAGCCAGAAACTTAAGGTTTGTTCTCTGGCAAGGGTAAAAGACAGTCTCTGAATTGCTGAATGTCACTGTTCTCTACCAAAAACAGGATTAAGTGAGCTCTACATTTTGATGGCTAATTCAGACTTCCTCTTCTGCTCTACTACAGAACGTAGCTGCTAGTTTTGGGGGGCAGTTTTTCACTGTTGTTTCCTTTCAGCAAGAAAATAGAACACTCTTCTCTGATGAATATGACCAATCTAAGAGGAAAGACAATAAAATCTATAATTAGGATTTCACTGACAAAAGGCCAGCAAGATTATCCTTTATTAAAGTTCATCCTGACAAGTCCCACCCAGGTAGTCAGTGCTTCCAATCAGCTTTTAATTTCTCCCTGTTAAACAGAATCAGACAACCAAGGATTTCTGGGCATCTCAAAGAAAAGTTCAAACACAAAGATAATGACTAAAACAACAACCCCAAAAAAAAAAAAAAAAAAAAGGAAGGAAACATTATTCAGGGAGAAAAAAAAACCTTTTAACATGCTCTTTACTCTTATGGGAAAAATGTTTCTCATCTTTTGCTTAGAAGTGAAAAATTAATGGAAGCAATTAAAATCTAAATAGATTGGAAGACAAAGTTAAAACTCTTGGAGAATACAACACAAAGAGAAAGATACAAAAAAATTACTGGAATAAAATATTAGAAAATTAGAGGAGAAATCCACAGGTCCAGAAAGTGAAATATTCATATAACTGTAGTTCTAGAAAAAGAACACAGAAAGTGAAGGAGAGAAATGATCATGGAAGTTGGTATGATTATCTAGAATTTAGAGACATGAGTATCCAGATTGAAAGGTCCTGTAGATGTACAGTATACTGGATGAAAATAGACACAGAATAAGGCCTATCATTGAAATTACAGAGCATGAGGGGACAAAGAAAATATTCTACAAGGTTAGAAAAATTCACAACAAAGCAAAAATAGAATGCCCTCAGATATTTCCTAAGTGATAGTGGAAACTTGAAGATCATAGAGTAATATCTTCAAAATTCTAAATAAAAAATTTCAATCTATCATTGTATATACTGGCAAATATTAATTAAACGTGGGGTAGATTAAAAACAGGAAATGTCTCAAAAAATGTTTCTTCCCATGTTCCATTTCTCAATTACAAGATATTCTCTATTAAATATGACAAATCCAAGACAGAAACCCT